CGTAACCATCGGGAATGTGCTGGTTAAGGTTTATAGTTAGTTAATGTAACTCATCCTTAGTAAATTTTAAGGTTATTCCAAATATTACTGCTACAAATAATTTTAACTTTAACGGTAACCGGCGATATGGTGCAACTCACCCTTAAATGTCTATAATTTCAGCAAGTTGCAGAAATTATATCATTTACAAAGCTTCAGAAAGTATACAATTTCAGTTTTGATTTGTATGCACATGTCTTTCAATATGGTTCCAACAAAAATGTACATATTTTCAAATCCGAAAGTGTATACAGATGTTTGAAGCATTGTAAAAGTATACATATTTACGCTGATTACTTGTATATGTATACATATTATCCATTCATTTTAAAGTTTAATTGTCAACACCAATATAGTATGAAATTCCAATCAAAATATTATGTTCCGTTTAAAACCGAATCAGTAATAATAACTGTAATTGCAGCAGCGATTTCGCAATTTATATCCGACAGTACATTTTAATGAATTCATTATATTTTTATGATGTCTACAGATAAAGTAAAGTTATAATTATCCATATTCGAGTTTTAAAAAACACATTAAATTGAATACTATGTTTTAGAAATTAAAAAAAAATAACAAAATTCTACAAACGTGATACTGGACAAAGATAATAAATAACAAGCTATAGAATTTTATCACAAATACAAAGTCTGTATCTCTCTTATAAGATTGTTAAAATAAAATATTAAGTGCATTGGACACAGGTTAATAAAGCAAAAACAATGAGCCACGCAGAGTCCTTACGTTGTCGATGGCTTTCCGCGTTAAAGCATGATAAGAGAACGAGAAATATTTGGGCAAACGATACTGATTTAAACGACCTGTGACGTCAACCAGTCTAATGAGCAATTAATTCATTATGCGTAAAATCATATTTGTATAACATCCACATAATCCCAGCCAATTCACAGATAATTAGAATACGAAATTTTAGTATTTCATTGATATGTTGACACGTATAGTAAATAAACTAAAATGACCATTGACCGACTACAATATTTATAACACGATGGAATTATTACATTAGGTTGTATGTTCTGAAACAGTTCTAACTAAATTGACGACAAGCTTGTATTAATTTATATAGCTAGTCATCTAATTTCGTCGTATAACATTCCAAATACTCTATTTGAGAAACTTAGAATTATTATTACAATAAGATTATTTATATTAGATAGGATGGGTGATATGTGGTGTAATAGACAGATAGTGTTCGGTGAAACACTACCAGCTTTTGAGCAGGTCGTCTCAGCAGATGGAAATAAACTGGCGTCCAATACGGATTGGTCGATGACATTCTGCATTGTACCTTAAATAATTATTAAACAGTTAAATTCGAATCATCACAGAATACACTAAAGGATAGGCCTAATTGTCGGATTAAACTTTACTTAAGTATGTGGGTATTCAATAGACACTAAAATTAGCGCATACCATATTTCGACCGCTAAATCGGTGGAATCGTTGTCAAATGCATTTTAAATATAATAAAATAGAGTCTTCAAGAAACTTATTCTAGTCTATTCTTTTAGCTCACGGTAACTCTATGATCCAATGTTTCATACTCTGTGTTACCCAACAGATCGTTTGAAATTCTTTGGGATACGGATAGAAATATTGAGAATCATTAAAGGCCTTTCGAATCCACTAGACATCATTTATTTCAAGTATGTTATATTAGTCTTACATGATGTTGCTTTTTTAGTATTGATGACAAACGAAGAAGGTGCCTTCAGAATTCGCCAAAATAGCGATGCAATTCGCATTTTAGTTTCGTTGCCCAAGTTTTATCAAATGCACGAAGAGGGGATATTTCCCCAACTAAGCGTTCTGTTCCCCGCCACATTCATTTATTGTAATAAATACTTACCGTAAATAGCGTCTGGCGTATAATACTTTTGTTGAGCAGGCCGTATTGGTGCCATCAAATCTAAAATAAGCAATGGAATTAATTTGCATGAAGTTATTAATACACTGCAAACATAGACTTAACACTGTTTCTCTTTATCCAAGAACTTGCTAAACTTATGAATATTTGCAAAGCAGCAAATACTAGAACAGTTTACTTTGCATTTAGATAAGAATGTAAATAAATATGATCGATTTGATAGTTTATTTATTTAGTTATTATATTTACTTCAGTAGTTTTCATATGATATAATTGAATAGTAAAATAGTCAATGTTTGTGCAGTTAAAAATGTATGTGTACTCGTACCTAGTCCGATAATACACTAATTTGTTACTAAATATTGTAAATGCGAAAGTTTAGATGGATGGATGTTTGTTAGAGTTTGTAGTCTAAACAGCTAAACGGATCTTGATGAAATTTGACATAAATGTAGAGCATAGTCTGGAACAACATATATGCTAGTTTTAATCCTATAAATAGAGGTTCCCGTGGTATACCCAATTTTGTATTTTTTTTTAGTTTACTCGAGAAATCTGCAAAGGTTCAACATATATGAATAAAATTTGGCACAGGTATAAAACAAAGTCTGGAATAGCACATAGGCTACTTACTTTTGTTTTTTTTTCATGCAGATGGAGTCGCTGGTGAAAGTAACTAATAAAATTTAAATGCTTACGTGTTAGAGACGTGTAATCTGCAGTAGTCTTAGGGGAAACTTCTTTTGTTGTCGGCGTTTCTGTTGTCGTCGTCGTCGTCGTTGTTGTTGTTGTTGTTGTTGTAGTCGTTGATGTTGTTGTTGTTTTTATTTCTTTCGATATACGTGAAAAAGAAGGAAGCAAAAGTTTAAAAGTAAAGCAAAAATACGATTATATAAAGTCAGTAATATACTGCTACACGCCGACATAAAATGGCTATTTAAACGGACCCATAGTGTTACTTTCTTATACTAAATCTATACCATGTAATCCCTTGTTAACGTAAGAATACGAGAGTGGCAGTAAGTAAATAAAATGCCTTTTTGATTTTTTTAATGTACCCTAAAAACATCATAAGCACGAAATTAATAAAATATGTTCAAAAATAAAGCCTTTGTTACTGTATGTACCTTCTGTTCGTTTAGCAAAAAAATGAAATCGTTCCCAATAGTTATTGAGTTTATTCGTAACATACAAGAAAAACAAATCTTTTCTCTTAATATCAGTATAGATAACGAGGCTTAACTTAATTAAATACGATTTATGATAAAACTGGTAGCTCTATATTAAACACGTCAGTAAAAGCAATAATTGCCGTCTACGCGTGACACGTTCTTAATTATGTTTCAATAGCGGTACACATCTCTTGTAAGTCGATAAATTGATTTTACAGATAATTGGCGTCAAAAATTAATTACATATCATTATAATTTATGGGAATTATAGTAACTTAGGTGGCAATTTGTAACACAATACGTTCATGTTTTAAAAATAAGATATGATAAAATTAGAGACTAGTGAAGTTCTTGTAATGATTGCTCATCTTCGAAAGGTGGCACATAAAAGGTAGAAATATATATAGTCTTATTTTATCAGTCTTCTCCGTCCTTGGACTTTTTAATTATGAGTTTACGGTAGAAGGCAACTACTGCCTTTGTTATTCAATCCCCCATTCAATAATTTAAATTAAATTTTGTTTTGATCCTCCTTTTGCCAGAAAGCATAAACAATTTAATTCACAAAAGTAAAGCAATTAAATTAATCCGAAAACATGTCATATAGTGTTGCTATATTATAAGTTGATATTGCTATATTATGACCTAAGTTTGCTCTATGAAATTCTGTTCCTAAGTGGGAACCGAATTTAATTCTTTAACTGTACGTACGTAATACAGTAATGCTATTAACTTGGCGGTTTGTGTCGCTAACTGCCAAGCTAATAGAACGGTTGTATATACGTTGTCGGCGATACGTCGTTCGACAGGATGACCGATTAGGTCGCAAATATTGAAGCTACTATGAACACATAGCATGTTTGCATAGATATACTCGAATATGTGTGTTGTACAAACGTAATAACACTCCATACGAATGGGGAGTTGATGATCTGACATTGTGTTTGAAAAAAAGCTCATGCCTTTACCATAAAATGTAATTTCAAATATATTTTATTTAAACTGTAATCTTTTGGCAAATTACGGTTATTGAAATGTTACTATGCATAGGCTCCGTCATGCGACCAACAATAATAAAAGTACTTAACTATATCTACAGAAATGTTATGATATACAATTATGGTCAAAGATATGGTATATTGTTACGTTGATGTCCATAATACCTAACAGCGTACGTCAAAGGGTTAATACATGTGTTTAACAAAACAGTGTCTATAATTTTTGGGTGTCCAAGGACTTGGATTCAGTATCAGCTAGTCCAACAACACTAAAGCCATTTAGTCTTAACATTGTAATAATAATTATAACACGTTGAATGCGAAAGTAGCTCTAAAACATCCGGTACGTATGGCTTACAGTGTGAATTAGAAATATGCATATACAGGGTGTGCTACACCAGGTACCAAAAGAAAAATAGAAAAAATCTCTCCCATTTTGAACGTTTTAGTTACTGTGAATCAGGTTACGTAATTAAATACCCTGTGAATAATGTCGCTTACCATAAAGCCTGATACTGCCCTCAGCTTTACCAAACGCGTTAGAAGAATAGCATGTGTACAATCCTGTGTCGTCTGTTGTTAAATCCCTTATGAATAACGTCGCCTGCATTTGATATGGCGAGATACGTTGTTCGAACATTTCGAATTTTTCACTGAAAAAAAAAACATTTGACAACTGTAGGTAACCTAAAACCATGTATGTGTAGATATATGGTTGTGGAACTGTAAGTGTCGCGACGGAGCTACCGGATGTCTTTAGCTCCGACGCTCGAGTTACAAAATGTAGTGTTCTTATATTTTTCGTACATTTATACTGAATACGAAAACATTTTTTGGTTTCTGACTTGAAAATATGTATTAAATTATGGGAATATTCAGGTGCATTCTAGTGGCTATAAGTGACTAAAATGATTATTAAAAAATAATTTTTATGATGTTCTCCTAAAGTGAAAAAGCATTGCTTACCCAGATAAAATCATTTCATCTCCACTCTTTAGCCAATAAGTATTAGCAGCGGGATTTGCCTCGGTGATGCATTCCAGATTCGCGTTAGAGCTCGTTGTTACTCTTACAACTTTTGACTTTACTTTTATTGTTGGAGCAACTGCAAAAGGAAAAGCAAGATAAATCATCCGTAACGACCCTTTCACACGAGGCAGAACACTGAGGTAGAGTAGTAGACAGTGCATTATTTATGATGAAAAAGATAGCTGTACTGCTATCTTTAATGATTTAGATACTGTTCTGCTCTGTGTAAAAGTCACAAGAATATCTCGTCATTTGCAAGTCTATTGAGAGAAATTTAACTCACAATTAACAGCCACCATTATCCGCTTGCTCACAGACGGCGGAACATCATTGGAAGCAATGCAGAGGTACGCCCCCATCTGTTTGCGATCGACCCTGGTGATATTTAACACAGGGCCCACGTATGTGTCAACTACAAAGTCAATTAAATATCATAACAAACATGAAAATGTATGCTGAGTACCCATAGGTTGGCTAAATCTATTTTGATGGTGAAAATTGTAAAGAAAGTTGCATAAAAGTATATCAGACTAAAAGTATGAAGAAAAACTTACCCTTACTCAGGACACCGGATTCGTTCCTCAGTAGAATATTACTGCCGTCCTCTCTTCTCCACAGTATCCTAGGTTCAGGATGGCCGCTTGCTTTACATATTACTACTACGTCTGTATTTTCCTGTACTGTGACGTCACTACTCGTACCTTCATCCAAAATGTTTGGAGGTTCTGTAAAAATAACACTATTTGATCCTAAATCTTTACTCAATTATTATTTGCGTTATTGGAATTAATAATTTTGCATTAGATAACTCTAGTATTGAAGGGCAGTATTGTGCTACGGATAATCGTTAGTTCGTAGAAGTCCTACGAGGAACTACAGCTACGAGTTAGTAAACAATAACTTTGTATACCCAATACATCGATACATCCTATTTGTTTTTTCATTTTCGCTGTATTTATTTGACACATATAGCATCCCCGATCCGCGATTCTTAGTTGTCGTATGTGCAGCTGCCACGCTCCCGGGGGATCATTAGTTATAGAGTACCGAGGGCTGTGTCTGACAAGTTTCGTTTGCAAGGAGAGCACGGTCTGGTCGTCTGCTGTGATCCATGCAACCTGGCCAAGTAAATAATGTTGTACTCTTTAATACCTGAATTACAATAATTTTAAATGTGGATTAAAGTATAAAACAATTTAGAAATATGTTTGTTTGCATATTCACAATGACATTTCACGTTTCCTGCGGAAGTCTTGAGGTTTGTTAAAGACTAAGAAATGTATCTTAGTATGGCAATTTTTCATTGATAATTGAAAACTGTTTATAATAACGCATAAAGTTTATTTTGGATGATGGTGATATAGCTTAAACGAATAACTTGCTTACATTAAAGCGATAAAAGTAGAATAAAATAAACTGTAACTTTAGTAAATAATAAAACTCAACAGACGTCTGAAAAGGCAGGAAACGGGTAAATTGAATGAGCGAGCTTCCGGAAGCGTGAGGTAGTTTCCTAATTTTCACTGTAGACATTCATTTTACATCTGTTGTAAAAACTTTAAACTATAATCGGATTTGGATTTTTAGGACTCTGCAATCATTGAATGAAATGGATGAATGAATGACCGAATCACTCATCTATTGTATGTGAACTATACGTTAGTTAACATTTTAACAAGGCAGACCTATTATAGTAGGTAAGTTGTATAACTGAACGAATTATTAAATATTTGACGAATTCCTTGACATTAAATGCTTTGTATTATTTGGATTTTTTCTAACAATGCTACGACCAATATTTGCATGTTAGAAAGTTTAACAGCATAATTAATTCTAGGTTGAGGAAGTTTTCGTTTATTTTATCATTACCTACTAATTTACTAGTATTAAGTTTAAATAATTTTCAATAGAGAAAAAACCCAAGTTACGTATTTCGGAAACGCATTTCATGAAATCCAAACCCAATACAGTAACGAATGGTTAAAAGTATCTTGGAAACCGGCCATTAGAGTATTATGATATTCTTAAATATATATTTACCATATAATCTCCAAGGTCTGCAATAGGGCACGTCAATACCGCTTCCTTGCCGAGGGCGCCTGTGACGTTCTCAATGGGACCAGTAAAGCTCGGCTCCACAACACGTATAGAACTCGTTGGTTTAATTTTACTATTTATGACCGACATCTCCTTGCCGATACGGTAATTGGAAACTAAAAATAAAATATTTTTAATCAATCGTTTAGATGTTTAAAAATTATAAACTATTTGTTTACTAAATTTACACAACTCAGCGACTCGGCGACGACTACGTAGAACGTGGGAGAAAGATCGATGTTAAAGTTCAATAAACGTATCCAAGCTCGAATCTTGTATTGATTTATAAAAGTATTACCGTTTGCACATGGTTACATTATTTTGTATGGTATATGTTTTTGTGAAAATTGAGAATTTTGTGGAAAATCATACTAATATTATAAATTCGAAAGTTTAGATGGATGGATGGATGTTTGTTAGAGCTTGTAGCCTAAACGGCTGAACTGATTTCGTTAAAATTTGATACAGATGTAGAGGATAGTCTGTAAGAACACATAGGCTACTCACTTTTATTTTTTTTATTCCACGCGGACGGAGTCGCGGGCAATAGCTAATATATAATAATGGTAATTAAGTTTGAACTATTATTACGTTTTAATAAAATAATGTCGCCAGTTAATCGCCATGGTTACAAAACGCAATAGGTGTGTCGTAACACACTTCAGGCGATATTTTCCTTTCAAAGTGGATAATAGAATTTTGGTAAATAACTAGAAGTTTTGGAGCCTTTCATTATAACGTTATAAAGAGCCGACATTTGATGGATGACTCGTTTATACAGGATAATGAAAGTAAACTAAGCGTACACATTATTCACTTTGTTGTAATTTTCTTAAACTCCTCGACATTGTTGTTATAAATACCAGAAGTCATGTGAGAAAGTGATTTATAAAAGGAATATCGCTTTCTCCATACATCCACTCCTCTATCAAAAGTATGAAATGTATCTAACAGAATGGAAAAATTTTATCTCGCTAGCTGTTACTCGCGACTTCGCCTTTGCCCGCCTGGTTTAAAAAAAAAACAATAAAAATATTGCCTATCTTACTCAGTGATAACTTTTTAATGTTGAAAGAATTTCTGAAATCGGTCCACTAGTTTTTGAGTTATTTCTATATATACAAAGTAACAATTTTTTCCTCTTTATAATGTTACTATAGATAAACATATATGTGGATCCAGTAGGTATTAACTGTATTCTCTACAATCAGGCAATCAATAAATTTAAGTATAATTTTCTGTTATATTCAAGCTTGTGTTTCTCGATGTGTGTTGCAATAGTCGTTAACAAGTCACACTCACAATTGACTACGCATTGATTTGTTCGAAGCCTAATACGTTCAAACTTAAGTGCCGTGATTGAGGGAACATTCATTTTGTGATATCGTTAGGGGACAATGTTACGAAAAATAGACATTTAATTTTATTTAATTTTGATTCTTAGGATTCTATTATGGTAACCTTATTTGAATGTATGATTATATTTCAGTTGCAGGTTTTAAAAACTCTTTTATATCGAACTCGAACTCTCGTTTATCTCGGCTTTGCACGGGTGGCTTCTTGCTAATGTAACATACGAACGGTGATATATTTTTGATATCGGTTCAGTAGTTATTGTGTTTATTCGCTACTAGCTGTTACTTGTGATTTCGACCGCGTAAAATAAAAAACAATAATAAACATGGCCTATGTTACTCATTGATAAGATTTTTAATAGTAGATACAAGAATACAAATCTTTTCTCATTATAATTTAGTATATGTAGTTAGTATAGACTAACATACGACAATGCAACATTTTCCTTTTTAAAATATCTATTACCAATATATCATGTTAATAAATGTTTCAAGTATGATATAGTGTATATGCATACCTTGATCGTTAAATGCTCGGCGTACGAGGTCAGTGAAGCGGGCCGTTAGCCAGAATGGACTGTTGTTAGTTCACAACAATGAGGGTAATATATCAGCCTGTGGGGCCGCTACTGGATACTATCGCTTACGAGCCGCGCTAAAGTGCAACAATTATAACAAACTTTAACTAAACCACACTGCAATTATTGTTTTGATAATTTGCCAACTGTTTCGATACGATGTACTTGCTAGTGGTTTAAAATATTTTCACTTATTAATTACTAGCTGTTCCGTCCGCGTGGAAATTTTCAATTGCCAATGTCAAAATTCAAATGCTCAAATGACAACCTTGCTTCATTGATGTTGGCATCTTGTAATTTATAATCCCTTTCCCACATGAGGGGTTTTTCCAATTTATTTACCTCAGTTTAAAAGGGTGAAAATATATAGCCTAAAGCGTGTTGTAAGTGTAGGGCTTTTTTTAAACGAAGCATTATTCAAAAGTACGCTGTGATTACTGACATAGTTAGCCACAGAGTGTGTTTACACTTTATTATATTAGTATAGATTTTTTTATTAACATTAATGTAAATCCTATCGATAGGGTAGATCCAAAAGTTGATATAGGAGCGAGCATTATCACCGCATATTTACTTTATCAAAACACTAACTTAAACACATTAACTGTGTTGTGTTTCTCGTAGAGAATAATTAGAACCTAATGACAATATGTATATATTTTTTTAAAACTTTTCAGCAATAAAACCAGTCACTTTGCAAGCTTGTCGTAAATCAAGTCTGTCTTGTCCAAGAACCAATAAGGTTAGATAATTGAATGTTGACCCCTAAGTTTATTTTACCCACTTATCTTAAGTACTATTGTAGTGCATAAATAGTTACGAAAATAATTTTTAATATTATGCAGTATTCATATTTTGTTCATTTAAAATTCATAGATGTTTACTTTCGCCTTGAACAAAATCGCGTCGACGTCCCCTTACTGATTCAATAGCACTTAAGGGAAATAAACCGATATAACATCCTCTAGTGTAAATTGATAATAAATATTAGATGAACTATTTTAAATTCAAGTGCATTTTCTGGATTCAATAGTTATATATTATGCGAGAGACTTAACACTTTCTAAATTTGTACTGTTTCGTCTAGCATTTATAAAAATTACTGGCTCCGCCGAAACTCCGTCCGCGTGGAACTAAAAAAGAACAAAATTGAGTAGCTTACTTCCAGACTATCCACAAGTCCATACCAAATTCCATAGAGATCCGTTCAACCATTTAGGCTATAAACTCTAACAAACATTAATCCATCCATCTTAACTTTCGCATTTATAATATTAGTAAAATACGCAACAACACTCCATCCGTGCGGAATAAAAAAAATCGCTAAGTACTCTTTGTGTTCTTTCAGATTATACTCTACTTCTATATTCCATTTCATCGAGATTTGTTCAGCCGTTTAGGCTACAGATTCTAACAAGCATCCATCCATCTACTGACTTTTTTTTTAATTCTACGCAAACAGTGTCGCGGGCGATAGCTAGCAATTAATAAAAACAACATAATATTTCTTACACAACAAACTAGAATTATAGAAGGTAATTACTCGTATTGTTGTTCAAAAAAGCACGCGTTCCCTATGGAAATACTGTGAAATGTGCAAACAATTAGAAAAGGGTCCTCTTTGAACCCTCGTGCAGGGTAGTGTAGGGTACCGCACAATAGCACTTGATGTCAACAACAGTCGCTTACAATCAAAATATGGACCCTTTTCAAAGTTTCGGGCTAGACATCTGTTAAGTGTAACATATTTTTATTATTTTTTACTAGTAGTGAAATCGTATTAGCAAAAATAACAGTATTTTTATCAATGTTGCTATATATTTTCTTACAATATTATAGTTTATCAATACTTAAAAAACTAAATTAACAATAAATCTGTAATTATCTGTATCAATGGAAATAGTAAAAACAATTTGTATCTTTGCATATCCACTGTTGAACTTGTATAAATTCGTATTTTAATTAAAAAAAAACACGTGTATGTTTTTGTACAAGATTCAAACCCCGAACGTCACGGATCATATTATAATGAGGATATAATAAACAGTATTGACAGCTGTGCAATATATCTTATTAACGTAAATCTCAAACAATAGACATACGAGTACGTTAAAAGGAAGAACATAATAGGAAACCAGATAAGGTAAAACAGTGAACATAATAATGTAATCTTGTTCTTAATAATGTGGTTTTTTTTTTTATTTCCAAAATCATACCTAGATTATTAGACAATCATTCAACTAACCTAAACAGATGGTATTGCAGTTTTGTATTACATTTAGATAGGAAAAAACTAGACTTTCCAATTTTTACCTCAGTAGATTTAAAGCCAGTTTACTTTAGTTTTAAAGTAATGTATTTCGCAAACTGTTCAACAGTACAGTACATTCCATTTATAAACAGCGGCAAACGACACTAAACGTCCATTACAATGAAAACGGTGGCTGAAGAGCCGAGTATATATCAGATAGTGCGCGAAATCATTAGTTACGTGGCTTTGACAAAATATCTAGTGTTAGGAACGTGCAACACAATTAAAAGTGCAAAAATTGTCTATGACAGTTCTATTGGATTTTATTTGTGACGAATGAAGGTGATTCTCTAACTCAGTTTTAATAATTTATATAGCCACGTCAGCAATCATGTAGTATACGCATCCGACATGGTCCTTCGAGTCGGATATGAACCAGATATCTATGGATATATAGTCCACATCCACAGACACTGGGGATCTGTATATAATATTAGCTTTCGGCCGCGACACTTTCCGCGTGGCATTAAAAAAATACAGAAGTAAGTACCCCATGTGCACTTTGAGAGATATGGTATGCAAAATTCATCGAGATCCGCAGTTTAGGCTACAAACTCAAACAAACATTCACGATCCAGTACGAAGTAAGATTACACAGTTATTTAATTTTTCTTTATTTATGTTTTTTAGATCTACTGGCTGTAGCAAACCAGTTTCGAATTAATCTATCAAGATTGATTTGAAATCTGGTACACAGCTTTAGTTCCGACGATATAAAAATCCGATAAAAAAATGTTTGAAGCTTTGAAATGTTTTTGAATGAATTTATTTGCAGCTAAATTTAATCAAACCTCTATTTTTATTGTACTTATTCCATCTATTCCTTGATGCGTTTAATTTCAAAGTAATTAAGTAATGACTGTGAAACGCAATGCATTTGTGGACAGATGCTCGTGTGAAACGTGGTATGAATTCAAAAGAAAAGTAATTACTCCCCTCCCCTAATTACAAATTCAAGAAACCCTTTTTGAAATTCAAGTCAAGTTTATGGATTTACGAAAAACGTTATTTTTCTTACTATTAGTGAGGAAGTCGTGAAATAATAAAAAAACAGGTAAATTTATAAATTCCAAGGTTGTATTTACATTCACTAAACCACGTAGTATTTATTGATAAGCGAATTTTATTAACAATTTTCAATAAATTGTATTTATTGTATTCTTGATAAATACCGTTGGTAATATATTGCTACCCAATAATTTACTTATTTGGTCCTTTAATTTTAATTCCTAGTTTCTAGGAATAAATGGTTAAAATAGCCACGTTTGAACAATGTGACATAGCCCCAGATAATGTGACTCGATGAATCGAACAATTCGAAATTACATCACGAGGTCCGACGCATTCGTTCCACGCGATTCTGATGACGTCATGTGCGACTCCATTAATCTTTTAGAATCGTGTAGAGACAATGGAGAGGACTTTTTATTTATTACTATCTATGTGACATTTGACCTATTCATGACTGTCCGTAGAATGATAATGTTCGAATAAGTTATATCGAAACGGTTTCTATTTAGTTCAAATAATGCGTTTATTTTTTGCTGTACTTTTATCGCCTCTTGATGTTTTATGGGACATCCTGTAGTATACGTATTAAGTAAAAGTGAAGTTAATTGGATGTTGGATTTAATTTTAGGTCATTTATAATGATTAAGGATTTAAAAAGTCAATTAAGTGTTTAATTTTAAAATCTGTAAATAGCGGTGCGAGATCGCTTATTGTGAAACTGTTCGATCTCATGCATTTAAATTCAGAATTAGTGAGGAGAACCGCTCAAGGCTTTTCTTTCATTTTACGAACGTAAGCTATCACTATAAATTACTTTTAATATTGGACAAATCCTAGACATACGGCGAGAAAATTTAAGCCATCGTCGTATTTCGATTTCAAAAATACGCCTTATTTCTTTTAATATTTACGTGACTGTATTCATTTTAGATTGAAATAATTTTATTTACTTTAATCTTAAACGATGTTACAAAAAAACTTAGAAAACGTCACAAAACGTTTTTACTTATCTTACGTACGTCAACATTTTTACACTGTGACTAGCGCACGACGCGGATTTTTGACAAATCATGGCTATTGAAACAGTATTATGCGTAGGATTGCGAAATGCGATCTAGAACAATAAATAATTTGACAGTGGTAGAGCCCGATTTAACAACTTCGCACGAATAAGTCGGCTCGCTCGGTGCAATAGCACGACTACCGAAGACAGGCGTGAAGTGGTAGCAATTCCGCGTTTCCTCTGATGAATGTGGTGCCGGAGTACCAACTTTAGTCCTTTTTCTACCCCCTTTTTCTTATAAGAAAAATATGGCAAGGGAACGTGGACTTGACGATGGAGGAGACACATAGGAAGGGGAAATATCCTCTTTATGTGCGTTTCCTCCTCCGGCGATTAAGGGTAGGCAACGCATCCACTATCACGAATGTTTATGGGTAGCGGTCACTGCCAATTTTGGCGGATTCAAGTGGCCGCTTGCTCGTTTGCCACCTTATTATATAAAAGAAAATAATAATAATAATAAAGTACTTATATTAAAAGCAGTGTGGTGGTACATATTTATGGTGAAACATGTAACCACCATGACGTCGATAATATCGGTCAGAAATAAATTACGTGTATAACTAAACAATATCTAACAATTTTTGGGACTATACAGGAATACTTCATTAAATAGACGCCACATAATTAATATTTAACAAGCTGTAATTGTATTAAAGAGTGCGGTTATTTATTAGCTTTTATGTTATATCTAACACTTACTGATACAGTAAGAATCGTTTAACGTCCCTAAGAATCCCTTAGTAACCATTCAGTGTCAGTTACACTTTTTTTTATCTTTCGTCGGCTATCTTTTCTGACATATTTCAATTATTTTCCAGCAAAATTATAGTGGCGCGACATTTGTTCGCGTGACGGGGGTCTTCAGTGAAAATCCGCAATTTTTCAACTCGGAAATTTGGCATGAGAACATAAATAACTAACCTGGAAAAAGTCCTATATATTCTGGTAAAATGTATTCGAGGTATAAGAGGATGTGGCGCGGTTCGTTACGTTTGTCGCTCCCCGGGGAGCACCTTACCGCGCTACTCCCGTCTCTCTGACAGTACTTTTTTATGTCGACAACTAATATTAATCAAATTTACATGACAACCTATTAATTTTTAAATACCATGCTGATTAAATGTTAACATAATAATAATAGTGTAGATAACAGTAATAATTCAGGAGTATAAAAGTAATACGTTTTAGTCAAAATTTTTGTTGAACATGACACAAGTTAGAATTTGGTTTAGTTTTAAACATTAAAAAGTGGACTGAGACGTGTTTGGTTTTACACCCCTTAATCTATACTAAACATAACTGTATTATTAGTAAAGAGGAAAGATTTGTATTTTTTGGTTTTTGTATGCATTCAAATATAGCTCAAAAATTACTGGGCCGATATATTTTATTAATTTTTTTTATTCACGCGGATGAAGTCGCGAACTGGTTAATGTTATAAAGAGGACTGATTTGTATTCTTTTATGTTTTTATGACCGATTTATAAATTTATTTCATCGCTAGAATGCTTCATAATTCTTTACTAACATAGAGAGTTAATATTTTTATGAAATGTAAAAGGAAAAGTAATTAAAAAGACATCGACACTTTAGTTACCGAATATCCACATTCTATCTTATTCTTAAGTTCCACCCCTATTCAAACACTTTTGTCTGTGGAATGAGACTGTATTCTTCCTTTGTTATTTTTTCCTTATCCATCATTTATATTATTATATTCTACTACCGCAAACATTATTGTACTGTTTTTTGTAGAAACACTGTATGAAGAAAATATTGCAAAAAACTAAGCTTAGATACGATCAGCGAGATGTAACCGATTGTCGGTTAATCTTTGATTTCCACTTAAGTATATACGCACTAATTTTCGTTGTTTTAATGTATTTTTTCTAATAACATTGTAAAAATTACACCATTTAGACAAAGATATAAAATAGACTAATGGTCGCTTAAAGTAAGTAAAGTTCGCTTAAGTTGTTATTTTGAAATAATCTGTAAATAACTTACCTTTTGTTGTCACTACGAAGTTGTCAGCACTCAAAAGTAATAAAAGATATAATATCTTCAAAAGTCGCATATTGTTTTTCTTATACGCCATATCTTTATCTAATACGAACATCCAGAAAATAATATTGTGTTATTTCCATTACATTAGCAAATAAATTCACACCAAAAAGTAATTATAAAGACGAATTCTTAATTTTGATAAGAATTTTTGTAATTCGTTTTCACTAACTTGCAATAATTTTTATTAATTTACACACTCGTAGTTCTAAGAGGATTTAAATCTTCTCATATGTATTTTCCCGTAAAATCACATATATCTGAAACAAAAAAACAGTTTGTTACAATATGTATATCTTACTTCTTACTAATATTATAAATTCGAAAGGTTAGATGAATGGCTGGATGGATAGATGTTTGTTAGAGTTTGTAGCCTAAACCACTGAATGGATCTCGATGAAATTTGGCATGGATGTAGAGAATAGTCTGAAAAAACACATAGGTTACTCACTTTTGTTTTTTTAATTCCACGCAGACGAAGTCGCGGGCGCAAGCTAGTATAAACTAAATATATTAATCAAATAACAACGAGTGCATCGTTTACTTTAGTATTGTTAGGAAGAATGCTGCTAGTACTAAATTACTAGTTAATATTTTGAATAACAATTTGCAGAAACGAAAAACATCTCTCAGCCTTTTTCTAGAAAGGGTTATCTGCTTCTCGATAAGATTAAATGTTGGCTTCTAGTGATCTATTGAAATGGCTGTGTTTTGGAATTTCATTCCTTGATGTTCTGATGAGATACTACTTCTTGCAGATAAACACAATTCAAGAGAACACAAACAAGATTGTTAAGAAATAACGGATTACTATTTGGTCAGTTTTCATTCAAAAACTACTGGAAAGAAATTGTCGAAACTTTCAAAATAAGCATGTTTCCAGCACAGCCAAAAAGGTATGTAGTCTAAAATTCTCATGAAAGCTTTCTATCTGAAGTTTAAATAAAATTGTCAAAGAACCAAATAAATATTTAGAATTCTGTACGACGCAAAAGGAATCTTTTGCTGCCATTTACGTAAGGAATCCTATTACGGGAATGGTGCTACTTAAGTAGGCAATTTTATTTTATATCCTACGGGCATATCCATGTTAAATGTCACGTGGTTGAATGTATAAATAGAAACGTCGTCACGCAAAAGAATTTGTAAACAAAATAAAATGTTTGTATTCAAAATAAATTTTATATCATTTGTACTTCAAATTGTAGAATACGTAATTGTTTGTAAAGTATTTTAAGTGCGAATGTACACTCGAAATAAATTCAAAAAATCTTAACTTAGAGTATAAGAGATGCAAATTACAAGCTGTAACAATATACATTCATTTATTTCTATTTATTTCAATAAAGTAGAGAAGGTAACGAGTAAAAGGTGAGCATGTTATGAGGAGGGATGAATCGCATGTTACAAAGAGAGCGTTAGTAATGAGTGCAGAAGGGTACATCGGTAGAGGTAGACCTCAGAGGGATGGATTGCGTGAAAGGTGCATGATCGAAAAGAGAGTGATGACTGAGATGACGTATGATAGAGTTATGTGGAGGACACAAACCCGTCGCACTGACCCTACGGGAGTAGTATCATTTTAGAATACTATTAATATTACAAAAGGCAATATCCATTAGAGGTATTGCTTTTATTTTGATTGTAATTTCTAGCGTATAGTGCGACCCTATTGTTTGAAAGCCATGTTGTGGAATCTTGTTTTTAATTATAGTCTTTGTTGCAATATTAATATAAATTCTAACAGATAGAAATTTCATGTTCTATTTTATCAGCTTACATACAAATGTATTGTTAGATATCATGATATACGTAAATATTAATTTACATGTAACTGTGAGTTTCACTGTATAAACATAAAAACAATATTATCATTCTTTCAATCGCTTTCGCTTTCGTACATGAACTTCAGCAGTGGATATCTACTCTAAGGTATTTTAGAATCTACGAGATTCATCTACATATTGTTACGTACAAAATTCTTTAGTTACATGGACGTTGCCCTTTAGCGGTGACTCTACCATAACAAATCCTATATGTCAAAATAACTGCAGGCTTCCTTTGTCGGATGATTCGTGTAACACATGTTTGTCATCCCTCTTTTATTCCTTGAAAGAAAAGAGACAGCAATACGTTGTAATACAAGGGTTACGGCAGTAGAGTTTGACGGTAGAATAAAAAAAGCGAGTGATTCCCGCGGGATCTATATTTGTTCGCTCGACTGATGTGGATATTATTAGATACATAATTAAGTCTATGTCAAAGGGACATATGTTTACTGACGCCCATAAATGTTTTTATTGCTATCAAAAATTTGAAGCAACAACGTTTGCATCAAAGTTTGAATATTTTATGATGTTTTAAAGTTTTTAAATATTTGTTGTCATTCTTGATATGTGCAGTAGTTTTTTATTAACTACATAAACCTGGGTTTTAATACAAAAAATCGTTACGTAAATTGCAAAACATTTCCCCGAAAGCTTTCAGGCTGTTACTAATCAACTGGAAATGATCAACGTTTTTTTTTAATCTACATATACCTACATTGGTTTTATATATTTCCCATAGATTATTTATTATCAATTTTTTGTAAGCCCGTGAAAATCGGCGTTTATTTTAAACTAGTTTTCGTTCGCGAGTCCGTCCGCGTGGTATTAAAAAAAGAATAGTAAGTAGCCTATGTGTTCTTCCAGACTATCCTCTACATCTATGCCAAATCGAGATCCGTTCAGCCGTTTAGGGTACAAACTCTAACAAACATCCATCCATCCATCCATTCATCCACCTGAACTATCGCATTTATAATATTAGTAAGAAGTAAGATAAGATAGGTTGTATAAAAGTAGGAAATTAAAAAAATAACATGGAGTCGAATAGTGAGTTTAAGAAACAATTATTTTAAAAGAAAATTAAACATTGTTTGCCATATTTACTCGAAAAAAAAATTTAGAAAACAACAATTTTACCTTTATAGGGATAAAGCTACAGACGTTTCAGACTGAAGCGTTCTAAAATAAATCCATAAAAAATAAATGACATAGTCAGCCAAAAACCTGTGTAAAAATGATTTCTTGTTTACATTGAAACTATTTAGGTTCTACAAGAAGCCAGTGGATATCGTCAACATTTATCAAAGAATGAATGAATGAATATGTATTTATTACCACAAAATAGAAATTACATAAAAGGACTCATTCTAAAGAAAACAAAATCGTGGCAAAAGGTAGCCAGCACAGCGTATGCAGGACGGACTAAGCCGTTCCTGCGCTGATTTTCAGCTGGCTCCTTCGCTTAGTTATTAGGGAATAAATAACCGTTAAAATAAATGACATCGTACCTTTGATTTTCCTCTCTGTTAACTTCTGAAAGATATAATTGAAATTAATAAACAGTGAAAGTCTTTCCGCCTCTGATTAACCGTTGATATTTAATAGCGAAGTACACCTTCGGCAGTTTTATCTTCCTAGTTTTTGATGTATGCTAAAACAGTAATAAACTTAATAGTTATTTTTTACTTTCACATAATGCAAGAAAAATCATACTGGCAGTATAAAACAATTAAAAATAATTTTAAGTTTAGAACGGTTGGAAGTTAAATGCGCCATTTGTGCACATTTCACTCAAGTTTAAGCTGCGTCAAATACAGTAGAGCACCTAATTACTTGCAGTGTTTTTACATGATTCAAGTAGCGTTTCCGCACAGGCTCTCGGCTGAAATTCACGCTGAATAATACTCGGAGCAGACTCTAATTTGCATAAATTGTGTCATAAAAGATAGTTTTATTATGAAATACAATGCTTATTTTTTTACGTACTGTAGCTGGTTAGGTCAAAGACTGTCCAATTAAATAATTAATTTTTGAAAACAATTAGAATATTGTGTAAATACATTAAAACAAACACGTAGATGTAAACATATACACGGGTAATAAAGTAGTAAAAAAATAGTTAAAAAGTACTTAAAAGTCATGTTAGACCCTTATGGTGCATGAGCTACGATTGTTCAGTGATAAACTGATAAAAGTGTTATTAATAAATAAAAATACAAAGTGAAAATCTACCAATTTTACCTTTTATTTATTTAAGTAATAGACTTACAGCTAAAAGATTACTTTAGTATTTTTATTATAAGCTAGCTTTCGCCCGCGACTCCGTCCGCGTGGAATTAAAAAAAAAGCATAATTGAGTAGCCTACGTGTTTTTCCAGACTATTCTCCACGTCTATGCCAAATTTCATCGAAATCCGTTCAGCCGTTTATGCTTAAAACTCTAATAAACATCCATCCATCCACATAAACTTACGCATTTACAATATTAGTAAGTATGATAATATTAATGTTACTTAATCCAAACGGTTAAAAAATTAAGTCTAAACAATGAACGCGGTACTAGTTTTTTTATTGTATTAAACACTAAATAAATTCCATTTAGCAATTTACGAAAAGCAACGACCTGTGAATTTATTATCCCTCTGTTGTATCTCGTGCTTACAAAATCAAATAACGAACCCGCAACTACAAAACAAGTCTCGACTATAATTATAAAACAAAGAGAACTTTATGTTAATCAAGTTTTATTAATAGAATACAATAAACAAGAGCTTTTATCTTTTACTCAGAAAAATAAAGTTTTTACAATTTTAAGTACAGTAAATGTTTATTTTCCGAGATAATTGTCCATTTTGTAATTTCTAAAATAACAAATCTATTTATTTTAAAATAATTAGATCAAAGCACTTTATGATTGTATTTGTTGACAAGAAATAACCTAATTAAAAGTTAAGAAAATCAAGAAATTCGATATTATTAAATAAACTTACTTTTATCTTGCTCAGTTTCTACTCACAATCCAATTAAATTTCAATCACAATTATTGGAACCGAACACAATAAATGTCAACACACTGTAGCGACACCTGAATAGATTACAATCCTTCAATTTATCGCGACGATGTAACTGGAGAGAGATACGTTACTCCCCCAACACGACGCGAACACATCTAAAAATCAGTCCCAGCAGCTTATTGCCGTACAATTTCACGTTAAAATTTCCCCTATCACGAGATAAAATAACAC